CAGCAGCGGATGAAGCAGACTGGGACGAGCAGAATGTTGACAACGCATCGGCAGAAGCCGGACCTCTCCCGTACTGCTCCGTCAACGTGCCCATGGACGAAGAAAATCCTCGCGACAGTAACAACGCCGAAGTCTTCTACCACTTCGCCGACACCGGTTACGTAACACCTGCAACCGTCAACACAAATGAAGCAGAAAGGATAGGACCGAAGTTCATCCCTGATCCAGAAGCGGGAGACGAAGCAGCTTATCCCGAGGATCCAGAACTCCCTCGATACTCACAGACTGGGCTGCAAATCCTCGGCCTCGTCACCGCAGTCCACGGGAACACACGCAGCTCGCTTCCTAAGGAGCCTGCAACGGTTCAGCAGGCTCTAGGGGGGGAACACATGGAGAAATGGCGTGAAGCCATGGATAGAGAACTGAAGGCATTAGAGGAACGCAACACTTGGAAGGTTGTTCCCGTAAGCGTGGCACGGAACAAAACCATCCTTACCGGGAAATGGGTCTTCCGCATCAAGACGAAAGCAGACGGCACGATCGAAAAATTCAAAGCACGCTGGGTCGTACGTGGATTCGACCAAGAGCAAGGACGAGACTTCACCGAGACCTTTGCTCCAGTCAGCCGCCACACGTCACTCCGAATTCTCCTCGCCATTGCCGCCATGAAGAAGAAGAAGTTACGGCAGATCGACGTCGCGAATGCCTTCCTCTACGCACCTGTGGATGCAGAAATCTACGTCGAGCTCCCGCACGGTTCCCACGGCGAACCCAACCGAATCTGTCAACTACTTAAGTCGCTCTACGGGATCAAGCAGGCACCGCGACTGTGGCAGCAGTACCTGCACGCCCGTCTCATCCGCATCGGCTTTAGTCAACTACCTCACGACCAAGGCATGTACCGCCTCACTAAGGGAAGCGACTACGTTCTCCTGATCGTCTACGTGGACGATCTCCTCTACATTGGGTCAACCGACGGCATCGCCACGTGGTTCGAAGGAGAGCTCCAGAAAGACCTCACGCTCACGGTCTCCTCCACCGTTACACAGTACCTTGGGCTCAACATCCGCGAAGAAGAAAACGCCATCTATCTAAGCGCCGAGAAATACGCCGACACCATCGCGAAACGCTTCAGCCTCACACCAAGCGCCATCTCCACGCCTTACCGCTACACATCAGGAACCGAGAAGGAACGAACTACTCTACTCAAGCCCTCCGGCATACGCGACTATCAGAAGAAGCTCGGATGCCTGCTATTCGCCGCCGTCACCTGCCGTCCTGACTTATCCTACTCCGCAAGTCAGCTCGCCACCTATCTCAAGAAGCCTGAAGCTGAACACCTGGCGGAACTTGATCGCGCTCTCCACTACTTCGCCAGCACCGCGACGATCGGGCTAACCTACCACAAGAGCGCAGCTACACCAACTAAGCTAATCGGCTACGTCGACGCCGATCACGCCGGCGACACCGACAACAGGCGCTCACGCACCGGCTATGTCTACCGCCTTGAGCCTATCGGTCCTATCTCCTGGCAGTCGAGCAAGCAGGAGTTAATCGCACTATCTTCAGCAGAAGCAGAATATATTGCACTCTGCTCAGCCACCAAGGAGGGACTTTACCTTCGCGAACTACTGGAAGAAGCGAAGCTAGCCGAGTTACCCAGCTTCACCGTGTTCTGCGACAACCAGTCAGCAATTCGCATCGCCAACAAAAACGGCTTCGCAAACAGGACGAAACACATCGCCCTGCGCTATTTCTTCGTGAAGGACGAGATAGAAAAAGGGAAACTCGATCTGTCATACTGCCCAACATCCGAGATGGCAGCCGATCACTTGACCAAGAAACTCGGAAAGCAGAAGTTCGAATACTGCATGATGCTGACTGGACAAGGCCACGTCACCAGCAGCGACACTCCAGAAGCGAAGGGGAGTGTTGGAAACAATAAGTCCTAAGTGCGCTTATGTCGTATCAAAACCCAAGGCACCAAGCGAAGCAGTCCCAATCGAAGCATCGAGTCAACCTCGGAGGTTAGGGTAACCGCCTGGAGGTTACGAGAAAGTCAAAGGTCGCTGACCTTTGACTCGACAATTACAGCGCGACAGTTAAGGACACACAACTGACTCGTTACAGAGCAGTTGCCCGAGTCGCACTGTATCGAACCGCAACAGCAATACAGTTATCTACATATCTATTCGTATTCCCTGTACTCTTATATAAATCCTTGTATTTGCTTGTTTAATTCAATCAACTTTGCTCTCACACACCAGTGCAAGGTCGGTTCAAATTCTTCACTAAACGCTTCCGCTATTACAACTACTTCACCTAGAGTTATCCCTTGCAAAGATCCTAAGGGGCTATCTCAGCCCAACAAGTGTAAGGAAATTCCCTTTTCCTTACTTCGCGTCCCTGCTCAACGCGTACATCACTGTAGCACCTCAGTCAGCACCGTTACCACTCGCGACCATCGCATCATTCATCATCCCGCCCTTTTTCGCACATCGCATCCCGACCTCACGGCTCGGCTGGTAACCCGCGCTCCGGACCTACGCTTCGACACTTTCCCAACCTCAGTCCCAGACTCGTCGCGCGACCATTACCGTTACCACTGTAGTTTCGCTATATATTCTTCGCTCATGCCTTAGCTCATTGTATTCTTGCTTCGACAGTGCAATTCTCGTTCGTTCACTCAATTGCACTCGTAACACTCAGTCTCAAAAACCTGATGTACCTAATTAACATATCCCATGTATTACCTAGACAGAAAGAGGAAAAGAAGGGAAAGCACCTCGTAATAGCACAAGACATAGACCTGAAAAGCTGTAAATCATTTAGCATTAAAAAAACATATACCATATTAATATATATATTTATTTCTATACTAGATGTCATGTATATATACGACATAGTCACTGATCCAATACTAAACCCGACAAGGGTTTAATAACACAAATCAAGGTTTTGCATATGAAAACCTGACCTAGGCATTCTTATTTTATATCCCTACTTTCATTCTATGCGCAATCAATTCAACCTATCGTAACGGTTTTACCTGTATTGTGTTTCACTTTTCCTGTGTGCCAAACCTTGACGTGAAAGTCCTTTGACGGAGTTTCTGTGCGTTTTCAGTGAAGCTGTAACAAGTTTTGGCGCGAAAGGTAGGGCCACAGTGGTTTGGAAACAGTGACCCGTCGTGCCACCCGGAACGTGGGATGGGTTCGGTAGAAAAGACAAGCGCGCGCAGTGCGGAATCTGTGGTTGGGATGTACAGTAAGCGAGCAAGCGTAGGATGAAACACGTGGCTCATTGAGGGCTCGTCTCCCTAACCTGAACGATAACCCTCCCCCCCTAGCCTAGCCTTTTGCGAAAACCATGCGCAGAAAGCGCTAAGGACGCGGTAAAAGTGGAGATTCGATCGCCTCAGGATCGTTTTTTAGCGCGGTTGTAAACGGTTGTGTACCTTTTGTATGCAAAACGCGGGGTTTCAGTACGGTGACCGGATCGATCTCCCCCTGGTCGAGTACTTTTACCGCGTCCTAACCCTACCCTTTTAGCGGAGGGGTCCAGGTACCTCTCCCCGCTAGGATGAAAACCCAACAAGATAGTACAGTTAGGCTCCCCGCTAAGGACACACCGCAACATCCAGGTTTTTCCCGCCTCTTTCACCCTAAAATTTGCTTGTCTGACAGCTCTCTTCCAACAATCGAGGCCGTCCGATTTCGTTTTAACGCACTGTACACCTCGATCTTCCACGGCACGACATCCCCTTGAAGTTGTCACCCAGCTCACGGATCACGACACATCCCAACCAATTCCCAAGGCCCTGAGCTCTCCATTTTCTGTTTTCCGCTCCATATTCACGAATCTTCTCCATTCTACTTTTCCTCCCTTTTGGCTAATATGGTCTCCTTAGCTGTCTCCGAGGTGGGATCTTGTTGAGCTCCTTCTTCCCAGCACCGCGCTTCTCTTATAGCATCTCGTCTAGCACACTAGAACCATGATCTGTTCCCAGCGATCGCTTTGCACGTTCGACTCCTCCAATCTCTGGCCTCTCGAGAGGGAATCTCTCGCTAAGCCATACTCGTCGAACAGGCTTTTTTACTTCTCAATGGCCCGTACTTTCTCTACCGTACGTTTGTTCTCTTACGACAAAAAATATCCACGCGTCGGTTCTTGTATGGCCGACGATCTGCGTAGAGTAAGCAATATGGAACCCTGTCAAATCGTTGGCCAATCGGAGTGCAGAAGCAAGCACCACCCAGCACGTGAGCGGCATCAATCCCGGCGCTCGCTATTAGCTCTTTCGGCTCGCCCTAGCGAACGCGCTAGCCATGCCACGTGTACGAGAAGTCGATCAACCGAGCGCCGCCAACGATTTTGCGAAGCGTCGATTGCGTCCTGTCGTAGAGCGTCATATCGTAGACTGCTGCCCTACGATAGAGACCCTCCGTGGGTCCTGCAGCGGCGAGTCGCGGCTCTTCTCAGCGAAGGCTTCGCCGTGTCCTCAGCCTCCGAGGTTTCTCAAATACCCCTGGTTCAAACAGAATCCGGTACGGGTTGGTCTGGGTGTCTGCCTGCGGGGTGATTTTGAGGCACCTCAAGAACTAGTCGGCCTCACCTGCCGGGAGTTGTCATATACCCGCGCTTTGCTCCGTATTTCGTGCGGGTTCTTATAGTTGCGAGCTGCGTGGCCTCACTAAACGAGAGCAGCTGCAGCAGCCTCGGCAGCCGCAGCCGCAGCAGCATCACCATTGGCGGCACTCCACGCCGCCGCTAGCGTCATCGCCAGCGCCGCCGCTAGCACGCCATCAACGCCGTCGCCTGCACCAGCACGGGGACCGGCATCAGCAGAGAAGTGAAGCCTTTGCGGGGAGAGGCAGGGGCGTGGCGCACCTGACGTTCCGTTGCGCTGCCGCGCTGTCGCTGCAGGGCCACGTGCCTGTTGTGAGGAAGACGCGAAGTTGCCGCTGTTGCGAGGAAGACAAAAGGGTATCCGCGTTTGTATGGACTCCATTCCGGAGTTCGACGAAGAGATTGAGATGATCGGGAGCGAGGAGGAGCGACGGGTGGCCGTGGCGATGGGCGGCGGGGGGGGAGGTGCTGCGGGGATGGGCGGCGGGGGGAAAGGTCCTGGGGGGCTGGGAGGGGGAGCTGGCGCTGTGGGGATGGGGGCCGGAGGGGGCGCTGTGGGGATGGGCGCGGATGGGCTGGGGAAGGGGAAGGGGAAGATGAGTCCGAGTGATGAGGAGGCGGCATATAGGGCAACGTATGGCTCGCACTTTGATGCGGAATATGATGCTTCTGATAGTGGCTCGAGTGCCAACGGCTCAGATGCTTCTGGAGATGCAGCCGTGGCTGGTTGGGTTGAGAGGAGCAGGAATGGCAAGGGTGAGTGGCGCAGCGGTAACAGCGGAAACAGCAGGAGCAGCCGCAGCAACGAAACCACTGGTGGCAATGGTAGCGGCAGCGGCAACAATGGTAACGGCAGCAATGGCAGGGGCAGCAGCAGGAGGCACGGCAGGAGGGAGCAGCAGCGGAGCAGGCGGGCGGCTGAGATAACTGAAGTCCCGATCCCTGAGGACTACGAGGAGGAAGGGGCTGCTCCAAGCAAGGAGGAGAGCGCTCCTTCAGGGGGTACGTCTCTGGTTACCCCTGGGGCTCCCCCGGGGGTGGCACCTCAGGGGAATGATCGACTGCAGCAGCAGCAGCAGCAGCAGCTGCAGAGGACGGTGTGGGAGCTTCGCTCAGGCGTTGCTCCTGCTGCTGCGGCTGCTGCTGCTGCTACTGCTGCCGCTGCTGCTGCGACGGCCACTGCTCCTGCGAATGGTACTGCTCGTGGTGGTGGGAGCTCCAGGAATCATCGCACCAAGTCTGATTCAGCTGCTCGTGGCAATGCCACCACTCGTGGTGGTTCTGCTGCTGCTGCTGCTGCTGCTGCTGCTGCCAGCCCCCACCTCACTGCTGCAACCGCTCCCAACGCTGCTATCTCTCCTGCTGCTCCTCCATCCGCCCCAGCATCGTCTCTCCCTTCCCCCCCTCTTCCCTCCTCACCTCCTCTCGCCCCCAACGTCTCCCCCGCCTCCCCCACTCTCTGGTACACCCCGCTCTCTCCCATTCTCCCCGGTCCCCCCAATGGACCCCCCCAGCACCGCTCTAAACCCCGCAGCACCCCGTCCTCCTCCCCTTCCGACTCCACCTTCAGCACCCTCACCACGGGTAGCAAACCCAACTCCTCCCCTGTTCCCTCTTCGTCCCCCGCCTCCTCCTCCGCCTCCCCTCCGCCTGCTTCTATAGCCTCTTCCGCCCCTGGGGGCGGCCTCTGCCCGGGGATAGACGGCGGGATATGCAACTTCCGCATGTCGTCCCGCACGCATTTCCTCCTCATGCGTTTCATCTCGCTTTTCACCGTGCTTTCCGGCCTCGGATACCTCTCCTGGAAATGCTACATGGTGGGGCGGAACATAACCCAAGCTGGACCGGCCTGCCTGCTCTTTCTCTCCACCGAAATCCTCGTCTTCCTCTCTTCCTTCATGCTAGTCGTTGAGTTGTCCAAGCCGGCGAAAGAGAGGAAGGCGCTGAGTCTACCCCCCTCGGGGCCGTTTCCCCGGGTTGCGATTCTCATCTGCTGTTGTAGTGAGAAGATAGATGTGATTCAGGACACGGTTAAAGGTGCTATGAATCAGAATTACCCCGGGGAGAGGTACTCAGTGTGGGTGCTGGACGACGGGGGGGATGACGAGCTTAAAGCCTGGGTAGAAGCAGAGGCTATGGAGGGGTGGAGCGGAGGAGGTGGGGGAAGCGGCGGAGCAGGAGCAGCAGGAGCAGAAGGAGGGGAAGTAGGAGGAGTGGAGGTGGGGCAGGATCAGAGCGAGCAGAGCCAGCTGCAGCGGCAGCAGCAGCTGATGGTGCTGCAGCAGCAGCAGGGTCGGCGGCTGTTCTACCTCCGTCGCCCCAAGAATAAAGGCGTGCCTCACCACTTCAAAGCAGGGAACATCAACTACGGTCTTCACTTCGCCTGCGGGGAGTTTGTCGCAGTGTTGGATGCGGATATGATTCCGTCGCCCTTCTTCTTGTCGGCACTGCTGCCGCATATTGTCGGGGAGGAGAAGGGCGACGTGGCATTCGTGCAGTGCCCACAGTCGTTTTACAATATTGTGCAGGGAGACCCTCTGAACGACTCGTCACAAGACTTCTACGATGTTCTGCTGCCCTACAGGTGTGTGTCTTTTGAGTCCGTGTGTTGAGTCTGTGACAAAAGGGCGATGTGAAGGGGAGGAGAAGGGCGACGTGGCATTCGTGCAGTGCCCGCAGTCGTTTTACAATATTGTGAAGGGGGGGGACCCTCTGAACGACTCTTCGCAAGATTTCTATGATGTGCTTCTGCCCTACAGGTATGAGTTCTGAGTCTGTGTGTTGAGTCAGTGTCGGGGAGGAGAAGGGGGATGTTGCGTTTGTGTAGTGCCCGCAGTCGTTTTACACCATCGTCAAGGAGGATCCGCTGAATGATTCTTCACAGGACTCCTACGACGTGCTGCTGCCATACAGGTGAGACTTGATAGTCGTCCTTGTGCAGGGGTGTCTCTTTCGTGCCGGAAGGGTGATGTGGCATCTGTGTAGTGTCCCCTCCCCAGTCGTTTTACACCATCGTCAAGGGGGATCCGCTGAATGATCGTTCGCAAGACTTTTACGACGTTCTTCTGCCCTACAGGTATGACATTTGTGCTGATCTGAACCGAGAGGGCGAGATATGACATTTGTTCAGTTCTCGCAGTCAGCACATTCCCGATTCTATTTTGCCATTCCTTCTTTTGCATTCATGACGTTACATGCCTCCCACCTGCGAACGATAGCGTTTCGGGGCAGTGGGACAGATTACAACTCTATTTGCCCTAGATTTCTTTCTCTCCCCATTCCTGCTTTCTTACCAGAGATGGCCGGGACAGTGCCCAGTGCGTGGGTACAGGAGTCATTTTCCGCGCTGCCCACCTGCAAGCAATCGGCGGGTTCACAGTTGGGTCGATTACAGAGGATTTCGATACTGCTATGACGCTGCATGCCAGGGGTTACAAGACGGCCTATGTCAACCAGGTGAGGTGATTGAGAGATGGGTGATTGAGAGATGGGTGAGAGGCATGCTCCATGTGACTTTAATGCGGTGCGTGTGGTTCACAGTGGGGTCGATCACAGAGGATGTTGACACGGCCATGACGCTGCTTGCTAGGGAGTACAAGACGGGCTATGTCAACCAGGTGAGGGAGCTGGGGGATTACGATGGGTCAATTCCTAGATGTTGGAATGCAAGGGATGGGGCATGCTTGGCGGGTTCACAGTGGGGGTAGATCACAGAGGCTTTCCACACAACAATGACGCTGCATGCCAACGGCTACAAGACGGCCTATGTGAACCAGGCGCGCTAGAAATTAAAGCCACACTAGTGGCCACTATGTGCAGGACGAGCAGTTAGTGGGCCATAGGCAGCCTGCACACTTCAGACAGACACCTCATTCCCACCCTGATTTGATTCTTCCTCTTCTTTCTGTGTGAAATGATGCCAACAGCGTCTGCAAGCAGGACTCGCCCCCTGGAGTCTGGAGGGGTACATCAAGCAGCACCAGCGGTGGGCCACAGGCAGCCTGCAGATTCTGTTACACCGTAACCCGCTTCTGCTCCGCGCACCCAAGTTCAGCCTCTACCACCGCATCTCCTACTGGTATGCTGGTAAGTACCTCAGGCCCTTCACCCCTATGCTTGCTGGGCCGCTTGTGAGTCTCACGTCCCTGCATCCCCACGTAGACTTGAGAGTTTATATAAGTTATGATACTACTTCTGAGGCGCGTCAAAAGTAGCTGTTTGGCTGTTTTTTGAGATACGCGTTTTTTTTAGATGTCTTAGAGCTCTTCTGTAGCCTCTACCATTGATTCTGCTTCTGGCAACTATTATTGAGGAGCCTCAAAGCCTAGCTTTAGCCTGTACTGCAGGATATCGCACTGGTATCCTGTTCACTATAAAGCCTCACTTCACATTCTTCACTTCACTCACATTCTTCACTTCACTCACATTCTTCACTTCACTCACATTCTTCACTTCACTCACATTCTTCACTTCACTCACATTCTTCACTTCACTCACATTCTTCACTTCACTCACATTCTTCACTTCACTCACATTCTTCACTTCACTCACATTCTTCACTTCACTCACATTCTTCACTTCACTCACATTCTTCACTTCACTCACATTCTTCACTTCACTCACATTCTTCACTTCACTCACATTCTTCACTTCACTCACATTCTTCACTTCACTCACATTCTTCACTTCACTCACATTCTTCACTTCACTCACATCCTTCACTTCACTCACATCCTTCACTTCACTCACATCCTTCACTTCACTCACATTCTTCACTTCACTCACATTCTTCACTTCACTCACATTCTTCACTTCACTCACATTCTTCACTTCACTCACATTCTTCACTTCACTCACATTCTTCACTTCACTCACATTCTTCACTTCACTCATTTTCTTCACTTCACTCACATTCTTCACTTCACTCACATTCTTCACTTCACTCACATTCTTCACTTCACTCACATTCTTCACTTCACTCACATTCTTCACTTCACTCACATTCTTCACTTCACTCACATTCTTCACTTCACTCACATTCTTCACTTCACTCACATTCTTCACTTCACTCACATTCTTCACTTCACTCACATTCTTCACTTCACTCACATTCTTCACTTCACTCACATTCTTCACTTCACTCACATTCTTCACTTCACTCACATTCTTCACTTCACTCACATTCTTCCTCCGGCCATGTAGATTCCCCCGCCACCTGCTCCAACCCCGACATATTCCCTCCCGCCTCTCCCCCCACTTCCCGCATCTCCACGCTTTCCACCAGGCATGTAGTACCATCTCAACGTGATCGTCATCATGATCCTCACATGCCTTTCTTTCAGGATATTATTGAGAACATTCCCTCCTCCCCCACCCCCCTTCCCTACCCTCCGGGCGTACAGTACTATCTCAATATGATCGTCATCACGATCCTCGTCCTACCTATCCAACCAGCACCTTTCCTCCACTCCCATTTCTTTCTCCCTCCAGGCGTGCAGTACTATCTCAACGTGATTGTCATCATGATCCTCGTCCTACCTGTCCTCATCCTGGCCCTCGATCTCCGCATCATGCCGCCCGGCCCCATTTTCGAGACCACCCGCCTCTACATCATCCTCCTGGTCCCCTACGTCTTCACCTCACGCCTCCTCTGCCTCGGCCTCTTCTCCCGCCTCCCCAACGGCATGATGGTTCAGCTGCGGGGGGAGCAGGTCTGGTACTGGATGTCTTTTTTCAATTGCATGGCGATCCTTAAGTTTCTTTTTCCGTTCGTTTCGAAGAAATTTGAAGCCACGGGCAGCACGAAGAAAAAGGCGCCGGCGGTGTGGGAGAGGCTGATGACTGTGTGGTTCCATGTGGGGTTTTGTGTGGCGGGGGTTGGCGCGGTGGCATGGCGATTTGCTACAGTGGACTTCCACGATTGCGGAATGGTATGCGCAAGGAAGCTAGGGAAGACACCTTATTTGTTTGGTTGCTTTCCTGCTTGCATTCTCCCTCAGCCTGTTTGGCTGGGCTTGTTCTCTTGTGCTCTTTCCCTTGTTTCCATGAGGCATTATTGTTTCCCTTTCCTTTTTGATCTAATTATTTCTCGAGATTTGCACTGATTTCCTGCCCATTTGATTCTCTTGCAGCTTCTCAAGGTGACCTCTTGGGCTCCCTTCATCCTCTTTTCGGTGCAAAGCATGCTCGTGCCAATAATCCATGTTATCATGTCTCCAACACATCCTAAGGTGGAGGATCGAAAGAAATATCTCAATTATGATGAGTATGGGGTGCCATATCTAAGGCCCGAGCAGTTGTTGCCGAAGCGTGATTACTGCGTGTTGCTTTTCAACATCATCCCTGCCATCTGGGCGTTGACCATAGGGTTCTACTTCTATGCGGCGATCACCAATTTCAGACCTGGCTTCTGCACCAAGAGCGGGTTCTTTGGGTATCCCAGGTTTTAGATAGCTTCCTTTATTTGTATCATGATCCTGATACGCTAGGTTCTTTGTTTGTGGTGTACTTCATCAATAAATATCGTTTTAAGCCCATTTTACAGAAGACTGAAACGAAGTGTCGCGTCAAAGTGTCGGCTTGACTGAACCTCACCTCACCGACCTCGGGTCCACCGTGGGTGTGGGCTAGTCGCGTCAACAATCGAGTTCGTCCGTATTCCAACAGCCGACGGCTTAGGACTGGGCCCAATCGACTCTGATCGGCTCTGATCGGATCGGTTTGGGTCGGACCGGATTGCTTGTGATCGTTTTTCTCGTGCCGCCCGATCAGAGATTATTTTCCTCGAATGTCTCGTGCTCTTGCATAAAAACTGTCGGCCCATTACCTGGTAGTTGCATCCCAACTTTGGCGAGACGGACGAATCTCAGTATCGTGGTAATGTCGCCAAAATCATGTTCCAACACTCAGTTCTCGCCGATCTGGGTGTCTTCGCAAGGATTGTCGAGACCTTATGGCGAGCTGTGTTACATTTCGTGTAAATCGCGCAGGTCGCCGATCACATACAATCAAGTGATTAGGGCTGATTGTGTCTGATCGGTTCTGATCGGCCTGTTTGAGGCGGTCGATTGAGCTGGCGCGATCAGCTGATTGCCCCTGATTGCCTGAAATCTGCTTCCCGCCCTCCTCGAAGTTCTCGATCGTCTCTGATCGCGCCGATCAAAGTCGATTGGGCCCACGTCCTTAGATGACCCTTGCCCGCAGGGCTAGGAATCACCGACGATGTGAGGCCGAAATCTTGCAACAGCCCAGCTGAATTTGGAAGAAAATTTCACTGAAACTAGAAAATGCATTCTGAACAGCAACACGATAGTTCGTCATTATTCGCAACAAGTTTTACCCTTTCGCCTGGCCCTGGTTACATTTATCCAACAGACCACCCGCGTCAGGGTAATTAGGGGCCAATTTCATCCCACCCGTCAGTCTATCCCCTTAGCAGCATGTGTACCTACGGCGACCCCACTGCGTGCCACCCACCCACCAACTTTGGTCCACAAATCGCATGTCGCGCAAAAGCTGACTCGACGAGGTAAAGCTTGTCGGTGCTACTCCAATTCGGCGCGTAGCGCACTATACACGACCAGGTGTTATCCTCACAACCACTAACGTAACGGCAGTCCACGCGGCACGCGCAAATCTATTACGTTATGTTAGTGGTTGATGCGAGGGAGAAAGTGTCTTATTTGGATCTTGGTTCTTCCATTCTTCTTGCATTTCTCGCGAATCTGCACAGCGTTTGGTTCGATCGACGCGATCTATTTCCTACCCTACATTGTTCTCACACGTTTTGGTCGGCTCGGCAAACGGATTCAATAGAAGCGTGGATCGTTACGGGACGCTAGACAATCAATCTTCTCATTTTCCGAACCTGAGCGGCGCGAGTCTGCGTAGCCGCGGCATGGCGGCGGGTCGCTCCTTAGCGCGTTCGAGCGTGCATATAACCGTTATACGACAATTAAATCTTAGAATACTCTTTACGAGCTCCTTAATTGCATCCTTGCTTTGCGTTCAACTTGCGTGCCGTGCTGACACGGACGCCGCTTGGGCCAGTGGTAGAACGACACGTGTAGGGAACAGCGGGAGACGGCTCTCGACGCCGCCGGCGAATGGGGTAACCAACTTCCAACCAACGCAGGCGACAGTGTGCAATTTCTCCCGCAGCGGGCAGTGGCTTTCGCGAAACAAGGCTCCCTACGGCGCCGATTGTCCTTTCCTCAAGGTATCGCGCCCATGCCGCGGTATTTGCTCCACATGCCGCGGTATTTGCGCCCATGCCGCGGTATTTGCGCCCATGCCGCGGCATTTGCGCCCATGCCGCGGTATTTGCGCCCATGCCGCGGTATTTGCGCCCACGCGCGGCAGTCTTTGTACCCATGCGGTACTAGCGCCACACACACCTCTCTCACGTTCCGCCCGCTACGTTTACCTTGACAACTCCCGCGTGTTGCTTCACCTTCTCATTTCACGAAAGCCTCACCTTCACCTTCTCCACACGAGAGATGGAGTCTGTCTCCTCCCAATCCAACCCCTCTCCCCCCTCCTCCCATCTACAACCCATCTCCCCGTCCCGTGCCCTAGTTTCAAGCCCCTCCTTGCCCATCTAGAACTGAACGAACTTCTCCTTGCCTCCTCCTCCTTAATACCAATCCCCCCTCTCTTTCCTCCTTCTCCCCCTCCCTTCTTCCCCCGTCCTGTTCCCTTCATATCGCTCGTATCGGCGCGCATGTGGGGCCCGAGAAGTGTATGTTTTTTGAGAATTCTAAAAAATCGGCGCGCATGTGGGGCCCGTGAAGTGCATCATCAAGCCCAGGAACCGTCCCCTTCCCCTCTTCCCCCTATTCCCTTCCTCTCCCCTACCCCCTCTTCCCTTCCTCGCCCCTTCCCCCATCCCCTTCCCCCCATATCGCTGGTATCGGCGCGGCCGAACGTGGGCCCAGTGAATTGCATCATCAAGCCCCGAAACCGTCCTTCTCCCCTCTTCTCCCTATTCCCTTCCTCCCCCTCTCTCTCATCCCCTTCCCCCCATATCACTGGTATCGGCGCGGCAGAACGTGGGTCCAGTGAATTGCATCATCAAGCCCAGGAATCGCCCCAAGAACTGGCTGGTGAGAAATGGGTTGGGTACGGTGGGGCTGGGTATGGGTTTGTCCCATTTTGCAACGTCCAAGCTTGGTTCTGCCTCTTCTCCTCCGGTGAGCAAGTTTCGAGTCGACACAACAACCAGCCCAGGCGGGGACAACAGTCTGACCGGACAGCTGGGTGGTTAGGACAGAGGTGCCTTTGCTCCTTCATCTTTGCTCATTCATCTTTGCTCATTCATCTTTGCTCATTCATCTTTGCTCATTCATCTTTGCTCATTCATCTTTGCTCATTCATCTTTGCTCATTCATCTTTGCTCATTCATCTTTGCTCATTCATCTTTGCTCATTCATCTTTGCTCATTCATCTTTGCTCATTCATCTTTGCTCATTCATCTTTGCTCATTCATCTTTGCTCATTCATCTTTGCTCATTCATCTTTGCTCATTCATCTTTGCTCATTCATCTTTGCTCATTCATCTGTGCTCATTCATCTTTGCTCATTCATCTTTGCTCATTCATCTTTGCTCCTTCATCTTTGCTCCTTCATCTTTGCTCATTCATCTTTGCTCATTCATCTTTGCTCATTCATCTTTGCTCATTCATCTTTGCTCATTCATCCACTAAACCCTCCCCTCGCCCCTCCCTCCCCCTCCCCTCCCCCCCCCCTTCTTCCCCACCCCCCCCTCCATCCCCTCTTCACCCCCCTCCCCCCCTCTCCTTCTCCCCTTTCCCCCCACCGCCATTATCCCCTCCCTCAGAACTACCGTTACAGACCCAAGAACTGCGGGCAGCCATGGTTTTCCTTCGCTCCTCTGGCCTTCCTGCAACGAATGAGAAACAGGTGAGCGGAGCTGAGTCGCCTTTTCAGTCGCTTAGAAAGCATGGCAGGTGGTGGTGGTGGGGGGGAAGGGGGGGGGGGAAGGGGGGGAGAAGGTCAGAGTTGCGGCTAATCCAGGGATAGTTGGACTTAGAGCAAATCAGTAATAAGTCTTAGGTTAACGGGGAGGTGTACACTGCCGACGACTGAATGTAACACGGATTTCATCTGGCAAATGTCTTTTTATTTAATTAATTTTACTTCTTTACCTGGCAGGGTGTTTGCTTCAGTGGGCGACTCTCTCTCTGTCAGCAATCTCATGCCGTCTCTACTTTGTCAGGTGAGCTTTGATTTGACTCAAAAATCTCATGCCGTCTCTCCTCTGTCAGGTGAGCTTTGAGTCGACTCAAAAATCTCATGCCGTCTCTCCTTTGTCAGGTGAGCAACTATTGCTGTTGCTGCCCTTTGGTCATTACTTCAACACGCATTAATGATGGGAGAATGCGTTTTTCCTTTTGCTGTTGCTGGTGCACATTCAGCACAGAACTCGCTCGCCCTCTCCCTCCACCTCCCCCCTCCCCACCTTTGTTTCACTGTCTCTCTAGGTAGCCCAGCTGCCTCATCAGTGCCTCATCAGTGCCTCATTCATCAGTCAACCTCCCTCTTGTGCCTCATCCATCAGTCAACCTCCCTCTTTTCTGTGCTTTGTACTACTTCGCTTTGATTTTATTTCTATGCTGTATGCAGCTACATCAAGTCTCACCTGGGACTGAGATTCCTAACCGCGTCATGTACGCAGCGCAAGGCCCGCTCACTAACGTCTGCCACCTGTGCGCTTGTTTGTTCGCTTGTGTTTTACCTCTTCCCTTTCGTTTCCTGTGCGTTTTGCAGCTACACCAAGTATCTCCTGTGACCGAGATTCCTAACGACGGCACATATGCAAAGCAAGGCCCACTCACTAAAGTGTACCAAGTCAAAGCGTACAACGTTACCTTGGTCAACACATGGAGCACGTTTCTCAACGAGTACTGGCAAGACGAACAGGTGAGACGTTTTTTTCATCCCATTCGTAAGGCAATTCACTCTTCCGACCCAAGTCAGCTCACCACTGTTCCTACCCACTTATCCCTGCCCACTTTTTCCCCTCTTTATCCCTACGCTCTCCCTTTCCTCCTCCTGTCCTTCCCAGACAAGGCAAGCAATACATTGGAGGTGTTGCTTGGGTGTGACGCGCCTCACCACTTTACCCTATGCTCCCTCTCCTGCTCTCTCTCCTTCCCAGACAATCCAACAGTACAATGGAGGCGTTCTTTCAACCGACGAGGATTCGGTGGTGAACCTAGACGGGCTTGATGCGCAGTGGGTGATTGTGGGAAGTTTCAAGCTGAATGCTGCCGCACACCCTATGCCCCCCTTATGTTCTCTCCCTCCCTCCCACACGGTTCGACAATACATTTGAGTCGTTGCCTTGACAGATGAGGATTCAGTGGTGAATCTAGATGGGCTCGATGCGCAGTGGATGATTGTGGGAAAAAATCTATGTCAACCTTCCATACCCCCACAATGCCCATATGCTCCCATTGCCCTCCTCATTCCCAGACAGTCCAGCAGTACAACGGAGGTGTTGCCTTAACGGACGAGGATTCAGTGGTAAACCTACTCGGGCTCGATGCGCAGTGGGCGATTTTGAAGATATTCCATGGCAATCGACAGCACCCCTTCCCCTATACTCCCCCTTTCCACCCTCCTTCCTTTTCAGACGGTCCAGCAGTACAACGGAGGCGTTGCCTTAACAGATGAGGATTCAGTGGTGAATCTAGATGGGCTCGATGCGCAGTGGGCGGCTTATATCGAGCGGTACGACGTGCTTATATTGCAGACGCAGGCGCACTGGCAGGCCACCAAGTACAAGTGGCGGCGGTTCTGGGTGAACAGTACCGGGGATCAAATCTTCAACGAGTCTAGGTTCCTTGCTGCTTTTGAGTAAGTGTGGTGCTTTTTTGTTTTCTGCTCTTTGTGTTTGTGCTGGGCCATTTCCTGACTAAGTGTCAATATATGTTTCCAGGTATGGCATGGAAGCCATCAAGAACCTTCTTGACCAACCAGAGGCGCCGGTCACTTATTTTATTTCTGCCCCGGCAAGATTGGATGGATGCAAGGCGTTGAAGGCGCCGTATTCAGATGCACAGGTATTTCGTAATGCTACATCCATGTGCTTCACAGGTGCAATGCATTCATGCTTCCTATACATGAATCATCATTCGGACGCATTCTAACCCTTGTCAATCCTCTACCTGCCCTTCATGCTGTTGCTTTCCAATGAGCACATGCAGGTTGCGACCATTCGCAAGAATAATCGTCAGTTTATTGCTTGGTTGCCAGCACAGAAAAAGGCATTCAATGGCACTCGGATACGAGTGATAGATGTCACAACATCGTCCCTTTTTAGGCCTGATGCCTTTGTTGGATCAGGGGGAGTGAATAAGGATTGTATACACTGGTGCCTTCCCGGCGTTCCTGATTGGTGGGTTGCTATGGTCAATCACTTATTGGCCAATGAGCCCATGCTGGCAGCATAGTTTGTACTGAATGGAGATAAAGCGAAATGTGCTGTTTTCTGTTTAAGTTGCAGGCAGCACGGCGAATGACAAAAATACACTACTCGCCGTAGTTCGAATAACGAGTCTGCTGTTTGCGCGTCGTTCTTTCTCTTCATCGATGGTCAATCTAGCGCCGTCGTGCGCTCAAATCGCCCCTTTCTCTCACGAGAAAATCTGAAAAAGCAGCATGAGGATCGCATGTGCGTCGTTTTCCCCCCATCATCTACAATTCGGAATCCTACGCAAGGCTTTTTCCTGTCGTCACCGTAGTTTGCGGGCAAGGCAAAGCCAGAACCTGATGGTTCCGTCGTCCAATCGCTTGTCGCGATAACCTCGGTCAGTTCAAAGACTGACTCAGCAGCAGTAACTTCTGGCGCCATCCAATCAGGTCGAACCGCTCATAGTATCTTGATAATGGTGGTAACTGCTCGACACTTGTCAGACGAGTCACCAAACACACAGTCTCAGCTCGCAAATAGTGCTCAACTGAGTTCTGAGACGTCTCAAGCTCGCAAATAGTACTAAGCTGTTAAACATATTTGACTGAACAATGCCGGTCGCCGGACTGCTATGAGCTTTCGGTCTTCCCAGAGTTTCGTCACCTAACCGAGGCTCGCGAATGGCGACTGCTCGTCGCCCAACCGTCCATCCAGAGTCGCACGTCAAACTACTTCGTTCCTCGACGCTTCATTCCCTAAAAGGCCATCGTCCTCTAACGAATCATCTCCTACCGAATCGTCCCCCAGTAACGCATCGTTCCCTAACGCATCATTCACTAACGCAGCACAATCATGCTTCCACTTTCCTTAGTACCGCCGCTGCACTCCTGATTCTAGCGCTTTTGGTAGCTTCCTTGCCCCTATCGAGTCAAGCCGGCACCCTCGAGAAAGTGACCACAGCGAGGGTGGCTAAAAATAACATGATTACAGCGAGGGCGACTCGGAAGAAGGTGATTACATCGAGGTGCAACTACACCGTCGGGGGATGGCTGCCCGTGACTCCCGCCATGCAGCACGGCGCGTATCGCGCCGACTGCCCCTTCCTCAAGGTGCGCATTCCGTCCCCCGGTTCCCCCGCAGCGGAAGTTCCCCGCAGCGGAAGTTACATCGCAGCGGAAGTTACCCTCTAGTGGCTCCCGCCATGCAGCACGGCGCGTATCGCGCCGACTGCCCTTTCCTGAAGGTGCGCCGAGTTTCGCGCTGCCACCCCCCTTAGGAACGAAAGTTTCTGTTTTTTTTTTTTTTTTTCTCAGAAAACGTTTCGCGCTACCAGAGACCCCTCTTGGGGAACGGAGGTACCTCATCTGTCAGCCATTAGATTTCCCTCTGACTCGGAAGCTCCTTTCCTCCGGGCACCACATGTTGCAAGGTCCGCGCCCATTCCCCTCGCGCATACCTCGCGCCCATTCCCTGCGCCCATTCCCCTCGCCCGTAGCTCGCGCCCATTTCCCACGGCCATTCCCCGGACCTTTTCCCTTCCTCGCCTATACCCCTCGCCCACCCGCGCCCATTCCCCGGGCCCATTCCCCACGTCACTTCCCCTTTCGCATGATTCCTTCGCTCTTTTCTGTGCCACTTCCCTCGCTCATTCCGTCATTTGCCCGCACCACTTCCCTTTTTTTCCTGCAGGGCATTGGTCCTGTGAGCTGCTTATCCAACGAGTACAATCCTCGCCCTACCCCCCTTCCCCACCCTCCTTCCCCATCCTCCTTCCTTTTCATTTTCTTCCTGCAGGGCATTGGTCCTGTGAGCTGCTTATCCAACAAGCACAAGCGCCCGTTCCCCTGGCTGGTGGGTTTTGGACATCCTCGTTACTACCTAAACTTATAAATACTTCCAAGCCGACTGGTGTAGAAGCGGTCGAAGGGAATGCATGTGACGATGCATTGGCCAAATTAGTAAGTGCTTCTATAGCGAGTACAGCAGCTGCTTGATAACGAGCCCAAACGCCCCTGCTAGTGGCTGGTGCGTTGGCAAGGGACCTGTTTGTAAGTAATCCGCTAAGAGTGTGTGACATCATTTGTAGAAATTCAGCCTGGCGTTATGTTTCTTTTTCTTTTCAGAGGTACCACCGCTGACAGCCAACAGGGTGCCTCACGCCCCTCTTCCTCCTTATGGCTCCACGTATCTCCTCTTCCTCCTTATGGCTCCACGTATCTCCTCTTCCTCCTTATGGCTCCACGTATCTCCTCTTCCTCCTTATGGCTCCACGTATCTCCTCTTCCATTTTTCTTTAATCTCCTCCTCTCCCGCCCTCCCCATCACCGCAGAGGTTTCTCCTTATGGCAGCCCACACGGTGCCTCATGCCGCTCCTTTTCCTCCTTGAACTCCGTGTTGGGTTTTGAGAATTCTCAAACACCACTCCGTGTTTGTTTTTGAGACATCTCAAACACCACTCCGTGTCTCGTTTTGAGACGTCTCAAAAAACACCCTCTCTACACGTGGCAAAACCCTCTCCGTGCCTCTCCTCCGCTCACCCTCCTTCTCCCGCTCTCTCTCTTCCCTTGCTCATCTTCCCAACTACCATCCTCCCCTCCCCATCGCCTCAGAGGTACCGCTGGCAGCCCACAGGGTGCCTCACGCCGCTCTTCTTTCGCCCCCGACAATTCTTGAAGCTCATGAGGAACAAGTAGGTGTATGAATGGGTGGGAGGGAGTGGAGAGAACCGGAGAAAGTGAGTCAGCAAGCCTTGAGGGTGCCGCGCGCCGCTCTTCTTTCGCCCCCGACAATTCTTGATGCTCATGAGGAACAAGTAGGGAGCGCGGGTCAATATGGGGCAAGGGAAAAGGGTAGTGAGAGGGAATCAGGGACGATCAGGGGAGGGGGGGGATGGGGAGGCGGGTGGGAGTAATGGTGCGGAGGAATGCTTGGTTCCGATTGGTCGAGTCCCGAGCCTTGTTTGCTCCCGTCCCCTGATGTTCTCATTTTCCTTGTTCTTTCCGTTGTTTGCTCCAGATTGGGGCACACATCTTCTTGCCTTGGTCTTTCTCCCGAACTTTCCTGTCCCAGTCAGTACAGCAACCCCCCCATCCACCCCTATCCGCCCCTATCCACCCCTCTCCACCCCTATCCACCCCTATCCACACCTATCCACCCCTATCCATCCCTATCCACCCCTATGCTGTGTACTCACTCCTCTCGTCTGCCCAACACCCCACCCTTCTATCGTTCTTGCTCAGAGTGTTTGCATCAGCGGGCGATTCCCTCTCCTACTTCAATTTCATTCCATCGCTGCTTTGCCAGGTACTTTCCTTCTAAGCGCCAGGTACTTCTCTTCTAAGTGCCTGGTACTTTCCTTCTAAGCGTCAGGTACTTCTCTTCTAAGTGCCTGGTACTTTCCTTCTAAGCGCCAGGTACTTCTCTTCTAAGTGCCTGGTACATTCCTTCTAAGCGCCAGGTACTTCTCTTCTAAGTGCCTGGTACTTTCCTTCTAAGCGCCAGGTACTTCTATTCTAAGTGCCAGGTACTTCTATTCTAAGTGCCAGGTACTTTGCTTCATGTGCCACATGCTCCCCGCCTCCCTCCCCCTCCCTTCCCCCCTCCCTCCCTCCCTCCCTTTTTGCCAGGTACTTACATTGGAGGTGCCACATACTTTCCCCCTCTTCGTCCTACCCCTGATGGCAGTTGCGCCAGGGATACTCCGTGAATCATACTCATGCATCCACTCAGTTTTCACCTCAAACCACCTCCCTCCCCCTCCCTCCCCCTCCTTCCCCCCTCCCTCCCCCTCCCTCCACTCCAACTCCAGCCCCTCCCCTCATTCCCTTCTGATTTTAGTTGCACCAAGCCTCCCTACTGCATCACATTCTTGCATATGCTCCCCCTCTCTTTCTCCCACCTCCTCCAATTCCATTACTCCTGATGGCAGTTGCACCAAGCCTTCCCACTGCATCGCATTCCAGTTCTCCCCTCTTCTTGCTCCCCACACGAGCCTAGTATACCACGTGCCACAATGCGTGGAGCACAACCCACCCACATAGATGACTTTTGAGTCGACTCAAAAGTCGCCTGGTTTACCACGTGCCACAATGCGTGAAGCACAACCTCCCACCTTTCGTTGCCCCTGCCCAACCCTTATTCTCCTTCCCCCCTCTATGTTGTTCTCCTCTCCCTATCTCCCCACCTTTTTCTTGGTAGTTCCATTAGGCCTCCCCAGTGCATAGCATTCCAGTCCCTCCCCGTCTCGCTCCCCACACCAGCCTAGTCTACCACGAGTCAGGAAACTGCAAGCACAACCGTCCACCCTTCCCCTATCTATCCCAACCCATCCCATCTTCTTCTCCTCTCCCCCTCTCTGATGTTCTCCTCTCCCTCCCCGCCTGCCTTTCAATGGCAGATACACCAAGCCTCCCCAGTGCGTAGCATTCCAGTCCCTCCCCGTCTCGCCCCCCGCACCAGCCTTGTCTACCACGTGCCACAATACAACGTGACTAAAGTGAACACCTGGAGCACTTTCCTCAACCAGTGCTGGCAGGACAAACAAACCCTTGCTTTATACAATCACGGCCGCCCGGTCACACCAGAGGATTCGGTGGTGAATATGGAGGGCGTGGACTGGCGGTGGGGTCGATACTTAGCTAAGTACGATGTGCTTCTGCTGCAGTCGGCAGCGCACTGGCAGCCGAAACGCACCAGGTGGCGCCGGTTCTTTACAGACAGACGCGGGAGAATAGCTTATAACGAGTCACGCTTCTATCACGCGTTTTGGTAAGGTGACTACTGTGCTCGTCTGCCTCTCAGGCCCGGCACAGTGTATCTTACAAGTTAAGACCCAGATTTTGATTATGTTCAGGTATTTACACCCACATAATGAGGAGTTTCCATTCTTTGTCCCTCACAGGGCTGGCATGCAGAGTGTAAAGAAGCTGGTGGATCGTGCCAATGACAAGGTGACACGTGGCAGCAGCAGCGGCAGCAACAACAGCAGAGGCAGTAGCAGTGTTGGTGGTTCTGCTGCTGGTGGTAACAAGTGGCCTGTGGTGTTCTTTCTCTCTGCTCCCACAAATCAAAGCGGTTGTGCTGCTTCTTTTTAGCCTCGCACCGAGGGAGAGGTGAGATATGGGGCATGAAGCAAAAGTCAGGGGGAAGTGGTGTGAGTGTAAGAGAGACACTGGCTAGACTCTTCTCTCACTCTCTGCTCTCACAAATGGGAGTGGCTGTGCTGCTTCTATCCATCCCTGGTTGCTCTCTTCATTCGCTGTTTCTCGTCTCTCTCAGAAAATAACGAACAGTGTTCATAACTTTGACACCACATCATCTGCTCCCCTACACCATCACTTCTTAACCCCACAAGTTTCTTTTTATCCTCCCCCCCCCCACCCCCACTCCCACCCTCTCCCCGCTCTCTCCCTCTTTTTATATTCCAACAATCTCTCTCCCCGTTTTCGCCCCCAGCCCTCTCCCTTATCATCCCCCCTTTCCCTCCCCCCTCCCCCCCCCCACACAAACCTTTCCGAGTTCCTACTCCAGGCTTTCCTTTACCGACAGCGTAACCCACAGACGTCCAAGTGGCTGCCTCTCCAACGCAAAATCTTTGCAGAGTCTCACATACGCCTTATAGACGTGACCTCCGCGTCAGTATACCGTCCAGACGCGTTTGTCGGGTCAGGTGGGGTAAATAAAGATTGTGTGCACTGGTGCCTCCCGGGTGTTCCAGACACGTGGGTTGCAATGGTGCTTGGAGCCATGCTTCAAGAGAGGCGATTGGTCGAATCTATGGGACAAATAAGTCCTCCAGGTGTAGGTGGTGGTCTAGGAGTGGGTAAAGAATTTCCTTATAAAGTGGGTGATAAAGTTCCTGGTGAGGTGGTGAGGATGGAAGAGGGGAAGAGAAGGACGGAAAATGGGGATGGGGTGTGGGAACTGATTGCTCGGAAAAGGGAGAGCATGTTCTTCCATTTTCATAAGCACAAAACACACTCCTGAATTGCTTACCATCCAATGTCAGGATGTTATCTCCAAAATATGTTATCTCATCCCAATGCAGAATGTTTTGTTGGTATTTTGATCAGCATCTGTAATATTAATAGCTGTACTCTCTCATGGTTTGTAGCCACCCGACTGCGAAATACCTGTACATGCAGAGTTTTAACAAACAGCGTCGTCCACAGCAGCTCCGCCCACAGTCCCGCTGGGCCTTGGCGAGATGTGTCCACTCCACGGTGTTACTTTTCTGCAGAGCACATGTTTGGGCGGGAGTTGGTCAGTTTGGAAAACAGGTGTACACCAGGTGTAGATGCGCTGTTTGGTTAGACATGGACTGCCGGACGCATACAGATTGAGAAACACGTCTTCGGTTGGGCTGTCGCTGGGTACACATGATGCCCAGCCACTGCACGTGAGTTTGCCTTGCCCATTTCAGAAACTCTGCACCCGTGTTTTTTTTCCTAGTCAGTTGCACCCAGGTGATAGGCACGCGGATCAACTTGCATTTGGGCGAGAAAACGCTGAAATATGAATCTTAGGCGCAAAACAAACCATGCTGACCCGGTTTGTTCTTGTTCCTTGGCCAGAAACAAGCATAAACCCTAAACCCTGAACTAACAACAACACAGGCCCACCAGAACTGTTTTGGAAAAAATAAATCAGTTACAACCTGTGTTTTTTAGAAGCACCTCAGCACCCTGGCGAAATGAAACGAGCTGGGCGAAATACTCAAAACTTTTAAAAGCACAAATCACAGCCCAACTAGGGGAAACTCGAACGGGCATCAGGTGTAGTCGTCCTTGAGGCCACTGGGCAGGTCGTCAACTGGTACAGCTGGCTGGCTGGCTCGTTGGTTCTTGTTACACACCACCCTGTCAGTGGAATTTTAGGCGCGGCTTTTCTCGCATGGAATTTGGCCGTACTGTACAACTGTTCTTGTTCACCTACCTCCTCATACAAAAGGCACAAATAGCAACGCGGCTGAACGGGAATTTTAACAGGCGCACATGACCCACAAATTTTATGCGACACCCTGAAAGTTAGACTACAAATTAACAGTCGATCGATTTTATCCACTAAGCACTGTATCTTCGATTGCTACCACACTGCGACCCACACATTCAATAGGCATATGATGGGGATGTTGAATGATTTTACTGTATGCACTGTACAGTCCAAGCTGTGCAGATTCAAAACAGCAGCAGAAATTCGGCGAGAAAGTTTTGAGAAAAGCATGGAACAAACAGTGTGTGACATGAAACAAACAATGTTTAGCAAGTCCTAGTCAAGTCTCAGAACGTCCCTAGGAAATGTTTAAATTTCTGGTTGGGACGCGACTGGTTGGGAAACACCTTAGTCTGCTTCTTGTGGGTATTTCTGGAAAAAACAAAAACGTTTCGTGAACGGAATTCTGGGTGCACGGTGAGGAATCAGGATGCCTCGTTTGACTCAGCCACGAGAGGTCGTTTCTCTCATTCACCACCACACCCGACCCGACCCCACCGAAAGAATGTACAGACGAACTCACGTTACAGTGAACGAAAACCGCGTGGGGTTTGATCATACGCGACGACGAAGCCCACCAAAGGCAGCATCACTCTTCGCCAACGCAGCGTCGCATCGCACGCGGGATCAGTCGTCGCGTGCGCAGCAGTCGTCCAATTTTCTGAAACCTCAGGGGAGTCCTCGACCAAGAAGCCAGCTAGCGTGTACAGTTTGATGCCCATACAGCTGAATCACTCGACTTACAGTACACTCCGGCTGATAATTTCCACTGTGGACGGGACTCTGTTGATCTTGCTTTTCTCTGGTTTTTAGAGATGGCTATCCTTCAGTTTAGAGGTTTGGAATGTATGAAATGTATGAAATGCGGTCCTAACACACATACACAATCAATATGTACATCCGAGCACTACGGTAATCGTAGCTTGGGTCTGACACAGCTCAGAGCCGATTTCCACTTCAGCTTCTCTGGTCATTGTACTATTTCTCCCCGTTTTGAGCCCACTTCGGGTCTTCGGAGGGCCAAACTTCGTGTCGTCGAGCCTGACCTGAGGTGTTAGGTTGCAGTAGCACACTTGAAGGGTGATTACTCCTCGACAAAACGAGGTGAGGATGGTGGTGGTGCGTCTTGACACGATGTGTAAAAAACTGCGACTGAGGAATTCTGTACAGTTCTACGCACCATGGCTACACCAAAAATCCATACGCCAGCATGTAAGCACAGCATTTCTTCCTTCAAGCTCAACAAGTTGCCCACTCCTGCCTGTCCTTTCACTCCTCCATCCAAGCGCTCCTTCTGTTTCAAGCAATATTGCCATTTGGAGGCTCCTGCAAGTTTTAGCAGAGGGTTTCCACATCCTTCACAAGTTGTGACCTTAAGATTTGTCAAAACGAGGTGAGGATGGTGGTGGTGCGTCTTGACACGATGTGTAAAAAACTGCGACTGAGGAATTCTGTACAGTTCTACGCACCATGGCTACACCAAAAATCCATACGCCAGCATGTAAGCACAGCATTTCTTCCTTCAAGCTCAACAAGTTGCCCACTCCTGCCTGTCCTTTCACTCCTCCATCCAAGCGCTCCTTCTGTTTCAAGCAATATTGCCATTTGGAGGCTCCTGCAAGTTTTAGCAGAGGGTTTCCACATCCTTCACAAGTTGTGACCTTAAGATTTGTCAAGAGTTTATTTGACACTGACCTAGTATCAGCCCACTGACCACTGGACTACGTCAAATTCGTAGCTCTCAACATTCCGCGGAGGTATATTGGGTTAGGAGCCACTTCCCAGTCCGATCAATAAATTCGCATAACTAATCACAACTATACCACTTCTTGGCATGGGAACTTTAAGCGGACTTGGAGGCGGTGCAGATGCTTGGGCACCAGATTCGTCGTGTCCCTCCTTAAAACAAATGGTAGAAGACTCTAGTCGTTTTCGCTGGCAAAAGGTCTCTCATAAATGGCTCTGCCAACGGACTGTGAAGAGGTGAGAACGGGGAATCTTCTGCTTGACCCTGGAGATGAAAGATGCCGTCAACCTGGAAGTTACTACTACTAGTAGTACTTCACTAGAGGCTGTTCTCCCATGATCTTCCCACCAGAATTCATGCTGAGTGTGCACAAAAGCTGCGTACTCAGCGTTACCCACTCTACTAGCAGGATACCTCCCCCCTCCGCCCAGCATCTACCTCACGTGTGTGTGCAAGGCCGTTCAAATGAGGCGACCGGAAAACACCGAATCGCCTCCCACTTTTCTACGCTCCCATGACCCCCCTCCCCTCTCTCCCCCTCCCCTACCCCCGCCTCTCTCTCTCCCCCCCTCCCAGGACCTGCTTCTCGTGTGTGCGCAAGGCCGTATAGATACAGAGAATGACTCCCTCTCTACTGCTCCCATGCTCCCCCCTCCTCCCCCTCCTGGATCTGCTTCACGTGTGTGCGCAAGGCTGTAAAAATACAGAGAATGACTTTCTTTTTACGTCTCCCATGCTCCCCCCTCCCCCCTCCCCCTCCTCCTCCCAGGATCTGATTCAAGTGTTTGCGCAAGGCCGTAAAATTTCTGAAAATGACTCCCTCTCTACTGCTCCCATACTCCCCCCTCCTTTCCCTCCTTCTCTCCCTCCCATCAGGATCTACGTCACGTGTGTGTGTGTGTGTGTGTGTGTGTGTGTGTGTGTGTGTGTGTGTGTGTGTGTGTGCAAGGCCGTCACGGGACGCACACTCACTAGCTTGCGTGTCATCCCTTATGTCTACCTCTCTCCCATGATTCCCTGGCCCCCTCCCAGGATCTACTTCACGTGTGTGTGCAAGGCCAAGTCGACTCAACAATCCACTCTCCCTTGACCCCCTTCCCTGTCCCCCCTCCCTCCATTAACCAGGATCTACTTCTCGTGTGTGTGCAAGGCCGTCACGGGATGCACGGCGCGGAAGGTGGAGGACCGCATGCCCGGCCCGCCTCGCGGCAAGCACACCGCGCCACCCACCGCCGCCACTGCTGTGGTAAATGCCGCTGATGTTGCTGGTTATGTACCGGCCTTTGCTTTGGACGATGAAGAATGCTCCACTCGCCCCAAGCGTGTGGAGATGTGCAAGAAGGAAGCTTTTCATTCATCTGCCCGCGTGGGGATGGAAGATCTCCCTTCATCTGCCCGCACGGAGATGCGTACAGTAGTGCGGCTGACGACCTCGGGGTTCCACAACCACCCTTCCTCTCTGTGTCTCAAGCGCCGCCGCCGCAGAGACTCCACGGAAGGAAGCACCGCAGCTGCTGCTTCAAAAGAGGAGAAGAGCAACAATGAACCCCTCTCTGGCCTCTGGAAGCCTCACGCCGACCCAGCGAGTCATGCGCCGACTTCGAAACGCCACCTAGAAAATCCTTCCAAGGCATCGCGGACTGGACAGTTCAAGCCAATCCCTCCATGGATTTCCGACGTGCCATCCCACAGGTCCGGAAAAACTATGGGCGCTTCTAATGAAGCAGCCACTGGCCTTATCCCGTCCTATGGCATCGGCTCTCTTGTTCAAGTTGAACCCAAGGAGGCTCTCACTTCCCCTGCGCCTGCAGTCCTCTCGCAGAGGAGTTGTGTCTCAACGCCGCGGCAGAGGGCGTTCAGAAGCGTGTGTGAGCAGATCATGGCGCTTAGCAAAGAGCCAGCTGAGATGAGATACGAGCCTCCAAAGCGGCAGCGGGCAACCCGTGTGGAATCTGAGCCGGATGGTCAAGGGGAGAGCCCCCGCACCAGCTGCTGCCACGTGGGGCCCTTACCTGCTGTTGGCCGTGCTGCATCTGCTCCTCAGTCCCTAACAGCAACCCGCGCCACTCAAGGAGTCCAACAGAGCAACCCCGGACCGCCACAGTGCTTTCCGAACCAGTTCCTGAGCCCGGCAGGTCCGGCGGGCCCAACTGGCCGGTCAGGGCCAGGAGAACTGGCAGAACCTGCAGGTGTGGCAGCTTCAGCCTTCCCTACACACCCAGCAGGGCAAACAGCCCCAGTAGCCTTGGTAGCTGCTCGTCCGCACGACTGGAAGATTTCAGCCCATCCTAAGGCTGTCGAAAGCAGAAACTGTGAGGTTGCGATGCTGCTGGGGGAGCTTCTGACACCGGCTGAATTGGATGTCGTTCTCTCAAGGATGGCCCAAAGGCTAGGGCCGCCAGAGAAAGGGGCCCCGCAGCATGACGGCGTGGACGACTGGAGCAGTGCCTGCGTGCATACGTCGCGAGGTGTTGGCGTCTGCATGAGCAGCAGCAGCAGCTTCGGTGGGGTTCCAGGCATGGGGGGCCAGGCTCTCGCTGCAGTTGCCGGTGCTGCTGGTGGTGATGGTGGTGCTGGTGGTGCTGGTGATACTGCAGCTTCAGTACCTGCAGCCGCGGTCAATGCTTCAGCCTCGGTGGTGACAGCAATCGTAGATTCCCACAGTCCTGCTCCTGCTTCTGCTGCTGCTGCTGCTGCTGCTGCTGCTGCTGCTGCTGCTGCTGCTGCTGCTGCTGCTGCTGCGGCTGCGGCTGCTATGCCCAACTCAGCAGAGGTGCTGCATGCGCTAGGTGCATGCAAGGGCACTGACTTTTCTTCTCAGACTCAAGTAGCAGTTTCACCACTACCAGAACCCCTGCCATGTGCACCTGCTCCTACTGTTGATGCCTGTACTGCTGCCGCTGCGATAGTTGCTGCTTCAGCTGCCGCTGTTACAGTTGGTCGTGACTCCACAATCAATAGGTCCGTGTCTGCCTTATTGAGCACCAAGGAAGCTGCCCCCCTGGATTCATTGTCCAGCATCAGCAACGAGGTAAGCAACGCTTCTTTGCCTCTGATTTTCCTGCTTACTTTGCCCCCCCCTTTTTTTTTCTTTTTCTTGTTGATTTGTGTGTTCTAGCGATGTCTTGCTTCTAAAGTTTGACACCCTGTTCCCTCCTGTGCTATTCTTTGATTGCAGATTATGCAACGTGTACTCACAGCACTGGCTAACTCGACAAATCGTACTCTGACCTATCCTACCCAAACTCATAACTCCCTGACAAACCGTGTCCCGATCTATCATGCCACAACCCAGCGGGGTCTATCCCATTCATCGCCATGCCAGCACGTCCCATCGCATCACACCTCCTCCCACCCCACACCATCCTGTAACACCGCGTACCATCGTGCCCCTCAAGCTGCAGCTCGTTCGGTGCACTCAAGTGTGGATTTGGTGCCAGCAAGATCACCAGTACTGTCATCTACACTGGTGCTGCCAGCAGGACCACCAATAAAGCCACCTGCATGGGTGCTGCCAGCAGGATCACCTGTGCAGCCACCTTTGTCAGTTTCACATGTGGAAATGCTTCAGTCCCTCACCCTGGACCATCCACAAGCAATGGACTTGCTTCTATTCCAACTGGCGGCAGAAATTTATGCATCAAGCCTTGTTTTGTCACCAACAGCAGCACCAATAGCAGCAGGTGCAGCAGCACGAGAAGCAGCAGCACCACCAGCATCAGGAGCAGCAGTAGCAGCAGCATCAACCGTAGCAGCAGCTGTGACAGCAGCAGTACCACCAGCATCACCATTCGCAGCAGCAGCAGCAATTGCGACAGCAGCAGCAACTGCGACAGCAGCAGCACCACTACCAGCACCACGACCGCCAGCAGAAGCAACAACAGCAACAGCAGCAGATAAACCAATGTATTTTCCTGCACAAACTCATGCCACGATGCATGTCCCAAGCCTGGTCGCAGCAGCACCAGGAGCCACCGCAATGCAGCTCCCACTACAGTCACAAATGCAGGCCCGACAACACATGCTATCCGCTACAATCACATCTGCTCAGACATTCTTGCAGCAAAAGGACAGCACGTGGGAAGGTCAGATGTGTGGCCAGATTGCCATGGGTGGTGCTCAGATTGGCAGGTGTGACGGTCAGGCAGCCATGGGGGATGGTCGGATTGCTATGGAGTCCTTCTGGGGACAGCAGCAGGCTGGAGAAAAGGGACTCGTGCCGCCAGCCATGGGCAGTGTTCCAGAGGACGGGAAGGCGCTGGAGAGTTTTGACAGATTACTCGAGACAATGTCCTTCCATGGCAATGATCTACCCGAGTGGTCCGCACTTGCACAACCTCTAGATGAATATTGGTTGGAGAATGCGCCTTTGATTGACTTGAGTTGATGTGGAGAGGTGTGGTGACAAGCGGTGTATGTGTGCAATACTTAGCTAATAAGCGGTGGAAACGCCAACACATTATAATCAAATATTAGTTGATTATAACGTTTTGTTAAGGCTTTTGTGTCGCTTTATCATGCCTCTTATCAGTGGTGCAAGACATTTTATGAATTTAGACCCAACTATCATGCTGTAAAGTTAAAGCCCTGCAGGAGGGAAGGGCTTGTTGTCAGGTTTGTGGTTCGGTCCATGCGTGCCGTAAGGGGTCGAGAGTGGTGCGGGTGAAATTCCGATTTGCTCCATGAGTGTTTCGACGCATTGAAGCGGAGAGGTGAATTGCTTCAAGGGTGTAGGAGATGTTGAACTGTAAAAATTGTGTCACTGTACGACATCAAGCAGGCGCCTCAACTGTGGCACAATCACCTAAATAAAATCTTGCCTGGCATCAGCTTCACTCAGGTATTGCATAAACGTAGGACGTACCACTTACACTTTTGCTGATATTACAACAGAACGAGCAAAACCTTGCTCGTCATGCACCCCGGAATTCCCTTCGTCGTAGGTATGCAGCTGCTCTACACCGACTACAGCGTCGATGCGTACTGGAACACATTCTTCACATCGATCTGTCAGGGTGGGAGGTGCTTGGCAGCGGCGATGGCGAGTAGAATTCGGACGGAGGTATGACGGCTCGGGGCGAATGTTGGATCGAAATGAATCTTGTGGCATTTGTCGTGACCGCGCACGAGGCCAAGGTATACGGGACTCCAGCGCTTCGAAGTGCTGAAGCGCGCAATCGAACCGTCAGCGCCGGGTTTCACGCAAAATCCCACATCCTTCATAGCACCCTCCCTCCTTTTCCTACAGCTCAATCCACAACAACCATAGTGTAAAGGGACTCCAACTCTTTCTGTTCGGCATCCATGGCTGCCCGCCATTCCTTGCTGTGGGGTCTCAACAGAGCTTGCCTTGGTGTTTTTGGCTTGATGACTCGTGGGGACGTGGTTGTTGCAGTGTAAAGCCCGAGCAGTTGGAGTTTGAAGACTGTCGTGGCGTCCCTGGTTAGCAATTTCCTGCACGTCGTTTTGTCCCTTTCAGGTGTAGGTCGGGGCTTCGCCATGGATAATTGTCGTGTGATGGTCCTGGTGGTGCTTCATCATCAACATCGTTGTCTTCGTCGTGAGGCCGATGATACGAGTCGGGATGCTCATCAGGTGAATTTTGATCAAGGATTTGCGGATGCGGTTTGATCTTTGGGGGTGCAAAGCAGCTTTTCCCATGTGCATACGCTGTTGCTGCTCTTGCCGTATCTGCTCATAACTTGCTCCGCGAGGTTGAGTATTTTGTAGAACGGGCTCTTGCTCTCCATGTCGATGATCATCCAATCTTTGTATTCGTAGTTGATGCTGAGGCAAATTCTCTATCGCACGCGGCTTGCGAACTTTCCGGTGGTGGTGGTTGCGGGCATGCACTGCATCATGCAGCCCCATACGCATACCATTAAAATGTCTCCATTCTTTGCTATCCACTTGACGTGGGGTGAAAGGTTTTCGGTAATTGTCGTGGTGGAGAAAATACTGTAAAGCAGCATTTCATGATGCAAAGTATATGCCCTGTAGACATGGGGGGGATATTGACTTCTTCAGTAGCACCTGCGCTTTTGTCATGGCTCCGCGGTTGGGGCGCTTGGCGACGACCTGCGGATGCGCGTAGGAGAGAGAGTGAGATGTGATGCAGAATCTTTTATTCGCAAAGGAAGTCCTGCATTTCCTTGCTGCGAAACTCTACAACACGTATGCCAACTTTGCAAATTCTCTCTAGATTGCCACTACGCATGAGCCAACCTTGGGCGGAGCACTTTGTGCACCCTGTTGCGATATTGTAAGTTCGCTATCCAGATGTAGGGTGTGCTGGTGTCAATGAGCCGCTATCATGAGTAGCTTTTATCATTGAGGCAGCTGAAGCCGATGATGAGAAAAGCGTTGTACACTCTATACTACTTCAGTTACCGGTTGGCGCTAGGTTCAAGCAGGGAAATGGACAGTTGAGTGAGCATGGCTTTAGGACAGATGGAGAAAACACGAGGCGGTGTTGTGTTTCTGAGTTAGGTTTCATCAGGGTCCAGTATGGCTTCAGGTGCGAACACTTCATCATTGATGTAGCTGTTGAGCATTTGACACGAGTGTCCGAGGGGTTGATGCCAGAGATCGTCATTTGTGCAGATACTGTTAACTGGAATGGAGTGTTGGCCCCGGCCTTGCTTGGGCAACGCCAACGTCCTAGTCGGGTACATGGGAGAAGCAGCCGACTCTTCGCAGTGAGGGGGCTGCTCGACGGGCTTCGTCGAGCTGCAAGGATCACTGTGGAGTAGTTGTCGACCAAGGGTGCTCAACGGTAGCAGCTGACTGGGCAGGTCGATGGGTGGGCTGTCGACTAGGAGGAGCAGTTCGACAGGGAGGTCGACGGAGCAGTCCGTTGACCTGATACGAGAGCAGCAGTCAACGAAGGGAGCTCGGCGATAGTGGTTGCAGTGCAAGTCGACGTGTCAGAATGAACAAGAGTGATTGCACTAGGAAAGTGTTGGGTACAAGTAGGAAACCCTAAACTTACTGTACCCCATAGTAACTACCCCACTACAGCCTAAACAAACTGTAGTAGACATAACATTTGACACACCCCCATAGGCAAAGTGGGGGAGAGCAAGGGGTCACAAGACCAGTAAAGAAAGGCAAAGCAAGCTCAGGGTGGATCACAACGTCACCACACACTCTGAGCACAAGCAAAGGGCCACAAGGCCAGTCCACATGCAAAGGCATATATGCAGCACAAACAGCACAGTGATCTCTACCTAGCAAAGCAAGCATGCAGGTGTGTATATATATAGATCACAGTACAAGCAAAGCCTACAGCAAGTGAGGAAAAGTGGGCACAAGCCTTGTTGTCGACGTACAGCACTGGAGGAGAATGAGGCCGCTCTCCCAAGTCAGTCAGCAGGTAGGTGAGCTAGCGTAACTCCTGTGCAGCCATGGCTGTGGTGTAGATCTCAGCCTCACAACTGGAGCTGAGAACTGAAGACAAACGTGTAGAACGCCAAGAAACTGAACCAGAGCCAAGGCTGAAGGTGTAACCCTGTGACGACCGCTGCGTAGCCTGGTCGTCAACCCAAGAAGCGTCTGAGTGCCCAGTGAGGACAATTGAGCTCCTCCCTCCAAGCACGAGTCCCATGCCTGATGTACTGCACAAGTAGCGCAGTACCCTCTTAGCAGCATCCATGTGCACCTTTCGGTGTCGACCAGGAGCCACGTAGCGAGCGAGAAGGCCAAGAGGGTACGCGAGGTCAGGATGAGTGCAAGTCATCAGGTACATGAGACAGCCAACTAGCTCTGGGTAAGGACCACTCGGCTCTACGGACTCGTCCGAAGGTGGAGCTGAGAGCGAGTGACCTGTAGCCAGAGGAGTGGCCTGTGCCGAGGACCAAGTGAAGCCGAAGCGCTGAAGGACCTGCTGCACCATGTGTGACTGAGTCAGTGTGATGGTGCGGCGTGCTCTGTCCTAGGTGATATGCAAGCCAAGGTAGCTACGCAGTTCACCCAGGTCTGTGCACGTGTGTCTCTTTTGCAGCTCCAGCTTCACCAGGGCGAGAGCCTCAGTGTTAGCAGTGGCAAAGACCAAGTCGTCGACGTACACCGGGATGTAGAGCGGCGGCAGCGAAGTGTCGGTGCGCGGAAACAACGACGGGTCAGCAGTAGAAGGCGCGAACCCAAGAGCAGCAAATGTAGTCCTCAGTGTGTCGTGCCACTCACGTGGCACCTGGCGGAGACCGTAGACC